GTGTGATGCCATCATGTCAATATGGACCAAAATCTCTGAGGAATGCTTCCAGCACCTTGTTGAATCTATGCCATGAAGAACTGAGGCAGTTCTGAAGGCAAAAGGGGGTCCAACCCGTTACTAGTGTGGTGTACCTAATAAAGTGGCCGGTGTGTATATTGTTTGTGAACTGACGTATCTGCTGTCGCTGTTACACCTGAATTTCCCCTCTGTGGGACAATAAAGGCTGTTTCTATTTTAATTATTTACTCTGCCTTTAAAATTAATGAATCGGGAATCAATGGGAACCGGAATCAGAACCGTTCAGATTTAAGCAATGCCCAACCCTAAGCAGGGCTAATACTAAAAATGTGGCAGATATTTTACAAACACTCTTTCATAAATCTATGGTGCCATTGATTTGGCATTACATCCATTTTCCTAAAGTTATTTGTAAATGTAAGTGGCAGCAGTGGCAGCAGCTAGCAGTAACACTTCCAGTGCAGCCTAGCACTCATCCGACAGGAATATCATTATATTTTAGCCAAAATACACAGGTAATGCAAAACTGACAACAGTGTAAATGTAAAGACACGCTATCAGATGTGCTGTGCACCATTAACTGGCACAAATTACAGGCCAACCACAATACTGAGCAATGTGTGTATGAAGTGAGAATTTCCATATCTTGAACATTAATGGATCCATACCTCCTCATTTGCATTGTAAAAATGATTTCAAAGTTTGTCGTGATCTGAGAATGCACTCTCACTGTTGTTTATTGCAGCAAAAGCAGTTTTGAATTGCAACATTTACACAGGAAAATAACCCACTTTGAACACTATGACTGTGAGGCTTCTGATAATTTGTTATCTAAAGATAAACGTTCATGTTTATCCGTTAAGAAAATGATTAAGCTCCTTTCAAGCATTGTAGCAACAATTTAAAAAAAAAAAAAACAAGTTCATCTCTGTTGATATTTTATCATTTAATTTGTGAACCTTTTAAAAAAGGACTAAACTGCGCAGTGGACCTGATAAATACTTACAGGTTTTATATGTCCACACCTTGCTGCTGTCACTGTACATCTTATTCCATTCTGTGAAGCTTCTCATGCTGATCATGTATACTGTATCTGAATCCAGGTCTTTACCATTTATTACATGGTACTGCAGGTCCCCATCCTTAGCTGGTTTGACAAGTGGAGATACCTGGTACAGGAAAATAAATGTTAAAAAATAAGAGAGAGAGAAAAAGATTGGTGAATTGGTCTAGTTTCAAACAAACCACCTCACCTGCTTCGTCTTGTCTCCTTGCTTATAAAAAGTCACTTCAGCAGTAATCCGAGGATTTAACCATTCTTTCATGTTTGTTTTCCACCTGACCTCCACGTTTCCATTGGATTCTTTCACTGAGACAATTGTTGGAGTGTTAGCTTTAACTGTAACAACAGAAGAAAGGAAAGTTAAACTTTAACCTGCTCTGAGAACATCTGAAAAAGCTGAAGATGTTTTGTAAAACTCAACATACAGCTCTCTGTGGTGTTCACAATTTTCACCTCCACCTCTTTGTTTCCTCTGCAGACCTTCACAGTATAAATTTCATTAAAAGTCAAAATTAATTTCTTAGAGCAGCAGCACTTATTGTTGCACTGCTGAAGAGGGCAGGAGTATCTGTGAAGAAAACTTTCTGTTACATCTTTAACATCAACACAATAAAACAAAACTTAAAACATGAGGAAAATGTTAAAAAAAAAAAACCAACTCACTTTTCATCAAATTCATCCTGGATGGTTAATTTGTACTCAGAACAGTTTTTCACCTCAAATTGGCAAAACATGCTTTCTATGTCATGGTTACAGTCAAGATTTAGGTTTACATCACCTCCTGTACAAAACAGAAATTACAGAAAAACATTATCTATTACTCCTCTATAGATGAGTTATATAAAAACATCCAAATATAGTTACCAAAGACGAGATGCGCGTTCACGCAGAGTCCATAAAGAAGGAGCGCGAGGAAAGCCATTCTTCCTGTCTCCTGCTCCTTTAAAAAACTAAAATTCCCGTAAAATTATATCATTTCCTTATTTTACCATAGCACATTTTGTCATTTGAATGACCAAAACTTAGTTTTGATAATCCGCCTCAGCAGCTGCTAACAGCTGGAGTGAGAAAGCGCTTCGACCTGCGAAGCCTACTTCTTCTTCCTGTTTGTTTTTCTGGATGTTTTGTGCCACTCCTCCTTCTCCTCCTCCTCCTCTTCCTTCTCCTCCTCCTCCTCCTCCTCCTCTTCCCGTTTCCCGTAAAAGTGCAGACAGGAAACGTCCTTTGTACGTTAGTAAACGTAAAAAAAAAATCGTTTATTTTTGGGTAAAGAAAAGAAAACATAAAAGAAAGAAAAGGAACCGACTAGAGTCAATACAAAGCAGCTTGAGCAGTGAGGAAAAATATATTTATGAGCTTATATTAAATTAAAGATCCCTTCCTGCTCTGTTGATCCAGTCATATTGCATCATGGCGTCAACTTGGTCCTGTTTACCTCCCAGGTGTTTCCTGGTTCAGTCGGGCTTTTGTTTAAAATTGAAAATAAAACTTAAATCTCCAGTCCCTCTGAATAAAGTCAACAAACTCACGTCCTTAGTAAAGAGATACAGGTACTCCAGAGGTAATACTTAATGCATAAATATATCTTTAAATATAAGTGATTAGAATTAAATATAAAAATCTGACATCACAGCGGCACAGTTGGTGGTTTTAATCCCAGCCTGGGATATTCTGGCTGGTGTTTACACACTCTGTGTGCATGAGTAGGTCTTCTGTAGTTTTTCTCCCACAGACCAAAAATATCTTAGCTTCACTCGTACACTCTCAAATAAATGACTGTTTGTTTATATTAGTTTTAAACAAAAACGTACAAGTCTATGACTTATAAGTGTCTGAGAGCAGCTTTAAAGTATGGTTTAGGAACCTATTATTCTGCACTATAAATTATAATGAACAGGATAAATGTATGTATTTCACTGTTGAGCCACTGATCAATTAACGGACTAATTTCATAAATCTGGTTGATTTGTGGATGTATTTTCCAAAAGGCCCATGGGAACTGGACAATAAAACTTTATAGAAACTAATACAGCAGGGAAAAAAAGCAACTAAAGGAACAGTTTGTTATTGTGCTTTTTATAGTATTTCTATTTCCAAGTTTGAGTATTTATAATGATCTGTTTTTGTTCACAAAAGTTTGCATCAACAGTAATACAAAATTGATTTTTTTAAACATACAGAAGAAGTGGTGGCTTTAAACAAAAAAAAAAACGCATTACTCGTGAATGTCTTTATTTAATGTATCCCTTTGATTTAAAGATGTACATTTGATGTTTTTAGAGGATACGACAAACACAGCAGCCCTAGGTGTTAATTAATTGTGATGAAGACATGTTTCCCTCACACTTAAAATAATTGGACTCTCCCACATTTACCATAAAATATTAGTTTACGCAGCACTGTTTCTATTGTTTTGCAAACAAATCCATTCCACTCGATTTATAGGGGAATAGTCATACCAAATGTTTACAAAGGTAAAAGTAGATGTTTAACAACCCAAAATGCGAAAACCGTGTTTACTTAATTTACATTTTCTAGGGCAGGACCCCTAGACTAGACCCCTGCCAGATGCACACATTATGCTTCTCCTTAAATCCCCTATAATGTAAGGACTATTTAAGGCATTATGTGTAAAGAAACAGAACACAATAAAACTGGACTGTTGTAGAGTTCCAAATTGTTTCTGTTTAATTTGATTTGATTTGATTTATTTATTTAACAGGAAAAGATTA